AATTATCTGTTAAAGTGTCCTTCTTGGGAAAGAAGTATCTTAGACAGGTTTAGCTGTCAGACAGACACTAGAAGGTATCAGTAAATCAATACATGAAAATTTCTGGTCTCCTGGTGCTAATAATTCCATGCATGTGTTTGCTGGTAAGTGGGAAGGAAGATAGGTAAGAGACAATATCCATGGTAAATAAGTTGTATAAGATAATAGAAACATGTATGGTTTCTTCATTATTTGGGAGAAAAAACAATGTCTCTAGGTAGAGGAGCTGAACTCATCTAATGGATAGACAAAACTTCATCTAACTTTTTTTTTGGCCAGTCATGGGGCTTGAACTTGGGGCCCGGGCACTGTCCCTGAGCTTCTTTTGCTCAAGGCTAGCACTCTACCTTGCCACAGTGCTAATTCTGGCTTTTTATGTTTATGTGGTACTGGGGAATCAAACCTGGGGCTTCATGCATGCTAGGCAAGCACTTTACCATTAAGCCATATTCCCAGCATTGATTTAACTTTTTTGTTGTTGTTGGTTGTGGCGTTTGAACTCTGGTCCTGGGCACTATCCCTCAGCTCTTCAGCTCAAGGCTAGTGCTCTACCACTCCAGCCACAGTGCCACATCTGTTTTTCTGGTGGCTAATCAGAGATAAGAATCTCATGGACTTTTTTTTTTGGTCGGTTGTGGGGCCTGAACTCTGGCGTGGGCACTGTCCCTCAGCTCTTCAACTCAAGGCTAGTGCGCTACCACTAGAGTCATAGCTCCACTTCTGGCCTTTTCTGCTTATGTGGTGCTGAGGAATAGAACCCAGGGCCTCATGCCTGCAAGGCAAGCACTCTACCACTGAGCTACCTTCCCAGCCCCTCTCATGGACTTTTCTGCTGGGTTTGGCTTTGAACCTTGATCCTCAGATCTCAGCCTCCTGAGGTGTGAGCCACCAGTGCCTGGCTTTGATCTAACATTTTTAAGTAAGCCCATTTGAAATTTTTAGGGAAGGCTAACAGGTAGCAAGACAATAATAAAGATAACTCTTATTGGGAACTGGGAAGGTTGCTCAGTGGTAAGAGTGCTTGCCTTGCATGCATGAGGCCCAGGGTTCGATTCCTCAGCACCACATAAGCAGAAAAAGCCGGAAGTGGTGCTGTGGCTCAAGTGGTAGGGCACTACCCTTGAGCTGAAGAGCTGAGGGACAGTGCCCAGGCCCAGAGTTCAGGCCCTATGACCGACATAGCAACAACAACAACAACAAAAATAAAACTCTTATTGGACAACTGTCTGATTTTAAGTTGAGGAAAAAGAGATGAAAGCTGTAAATGTTGACTCACACCTGTAATTTACTCAGAAGTCAGAGCTGAGGACCATTGTTTAAAGCCATCCAGGGCAGGCGTGTCCATGAGACTCCTATCTCCAAATAACCACCAAAAAGCCAGAAGTGAAGCTGTGGCTCAAGTGGTAGAATGCTAGCTTTGAGAGAAAAAGCTCAGGGACCGTGCATAGGCCTTGAATGCAAGTCCCAGGCTTGGCACCAAAAAGAGAGAGAGGGAGGAGAAAAAGGGAGATAGGAGGAGGAGGAGGCGAAGAAAACAAATGCAGAAATAGGTTTAGTATAGAGTACAGAAAAAAATGTGTTTGGGTGTTTCTGTCTATTTCAGAAATGGCTAAAATGTTTACACTGCTCACTAATATTGCTTACCCAAGAAATGAGAAATGCTTGTTACCATGAACTACATCTGGATGTACATCAAGTGACATGCCTTTATAAAGTATGTCACTATGACACAATAGAACATAGCAAACATAGCTTTGGTTTAGTGAAGCAATACAGATTCTTTCCTTTCAGAAACAAAAGGATTTGTAGCTTTGTTTTGCTTTTTCCTTCCTTTTTCTTTTGCTTTCCTGTGCATAGTAGGTTCAATGAAACAGCTTCAACTTTAAAAGCTCAGTTTGGATTTTAGTGTCTTAGGTAAGAAATTTTGTTTCTTTAAAAAAGTTTTATTTTTACCTTAGTTATTTCCTTCTTTCCTGTATTTGCTACTTTGGGTAATACTGGGAATCTGAACTCATCTTTATTACTTGAGCTATACCTTCAGCGTACTTTGTCTTCTCTAACATAGCTTGTCCCTCTTTGAGATAAACAATATGAATTACCTGGCAAGAATCCTGATAAATAGTAGGCATTCAACAATTTAGTTTCCATAGTTATATTAATAATTTACATAGATAAGAAGGGAATGCAAAAGAAAGAATACTGAACATGAAGTCCTAAGATTTGGGTTCAAATTCAAGCTTTTTTTTTTGCTGTCTTGGTCACTGTCCCTGAGCTTTTTTTTTTTTTTTTTTTGCCTGAGATTAACAATCTACCACAAGAACCACAGTTCCACTTCCACTTCCAGTTTTGTTTTTTTTTTTTTTGGCCAGTCCTGGGGCTTGAACTCAGGGCCTGAGCACTGTCCCTGAGCCTCTTTTGCTCAAGGCTAGTACTCTACCATTTGAGTCACAGAACCACTTCTGGCTTTTTCTGTTTATGTGGTACTGAGGAATTGAACCCAGGGCTTCATGCATGGTAAGCAAGCACTCTACTACTAAGCCACATTCTCAGCCCCACTTCCAGCTTTAATTTTTAATATAGTATACCACACTTTACAATGCTTAATGTAATCATATTAAAGAATTACTATGATCATTTTGTGATTGTCAGACTTACAGTGGTTAATAAATGTTGCCTATAAGAAAACCAGCTTGAAGCCGGATGCCAGTGGCTCACACCTGTAAGCCTAGCTACTCAGGAGGCTGAGATCTGAGGATTGTGACTCAAAGACAGCCCGGGCAGGAATCTGTGAAACTCTCCAATTAACCACTCAAAAACTGGAAGTGGAGCTGTGGCTCAAATTGGTAGAGCTCTAGAAAAAGAGCTCAGGAACAGTGCCCAGAGGCCCTGAGTTCAAGCCCTATGACCAACAAAAAACAAAACACAAAACAAAACAAGAGTTAAAAATGGTTATAACTTAAATGGTCATAACCAGTAGGGTGGTGGCAAGTGAATTGCTGTAATCCTAGTTACTTAGGCGACTGAGATCTGAGGATCATTGTTCAAAGCCAGCCTAAGCAGACAAATTGAGATGGTTATCTCCAACTAAGCAGCAGCAAAAATACTGCAAATGGAAAGGTATGAGGAGGCCCTACATTCAAATCCCAATGCTGTAAAAAAGAAAAAAACAACCAACAAACCAAAAAACAGCAAACCAAAAACTTATGGATTCCTAGAAAAGTTGCTATAAATTAATTAAAATACTCCCCTCGGGGCTGGCAAGGTGGCTCAGTGGTAGAGCACTTGCCTTGCATGCCTGAGGCCCTGGGTTCTATTCCTCAGCACCACATAAGCAAAAAGAAAATAAAAAGCTGGAAGCGGCGCTATGGCTCAAAGTGGTAGAGTGCTAGCCTTGAGCTGAAGAGCTGAGGGACAGCGCCTAGGCCCAGAGTAGAGTTCAGGCCCCACGACCGGACCCAAAAAAAACAACAAAAAACAACAACAACAACAACAAAAATACTCTCCTCTACCTCTCCCCCCTTCCTCTCCCCTCACTCAGGAGCAGGGGGTTGGTTGTGGGGCTTGAAGTCAGGGCCTAGAGTTTTTCTATTCAAGACTTCCTGCTCTACTTCTTTGAGCCACAATGCTACTTCCAGCCTTTTCTGTTTATGTGGTATAGAGGAATTGAACCCAGGGCTTCATGCATGCTAGGCAAGCACTCTACCACTAAGCCACATTCCCAGCCCTCATTCTTCCACTTTAAGAACCAGAGGAAGAGCTAGAGAGAAGGGCTTGAATCCAGGGCCTCATGCTCAGTTTTCTCACTCACAGTTGGCAGTCCACCCCTTGAACCACATCTCTAGTTTGGCTGGTACTTAAGACTAACTCAGGGTCTTACACATGTGATGCACAGGTTCAACCACAGAAATATATCCCCAGCTGGTTGAGTGTATTTTTAATTATTATGGAATGGTATAGTGACACAGAGACATTACTTCATGGTTCTTAACTTTCTTTGGATAAATACCTGTCTTTGTTGCAAATCACATCAATCAAGAACAAATTGTTTCCAGGTTAATTTTTAATTTTATTCTAGTGAGACCTGCCCTTAGTAGGAAATAATTCACATCACAGCTCTTGATTCACATATCTATTTCCCTTTAATGTCTTAGGCTCTAGTTGTGTATGTGTGTATCCTACAGATATTCAGTGTCTCTGGGGACTAGCAGAGTCTCACTTCTGTAACCACAGCCCACATTTCCTTGCTTCTTCAGAATCCTTTCTTCCCCATTTTCTCCCCCACTAACATCTGGCTAGTTTTCGGTAAAGAATGTTAGTGTCAAGAGAGGAAATACTATATAGAGTATGAGAAAGAAAAGAAATAAAGAAATAGTGAAAGGCAGTATTCTCTCAGGTTGTGGTCAGGAGAGAAACTACATTATTTGATTATATATATAAAAATGCTGTGGATTTTTCTATATAGGAACATACTTTTGTTTGCTAAGTTTTAGGTAGATGGTTTCATGGAGCAAAAAATAGACGAGAAAAGGGAAGGGAGGAAAAAAAGAGAGGAGGAAAACAAAAGAATTTTTTTTTTAAATCTTATTTTTCTGTGCCAGTACTGATGCATGGGTATTGTCACAGAGGTTTTTTTGCTTAAGGTCTACTACTTCAGCCACAGCTCTCCACTTTCAGCTTTTCCTGGTTAACTGGATTTTGGTGGTTAATTGGATTTTCCTGCCCAGTATGGCACGGAGCCTCCATCCTCAGATCTCATCCTCCTGACGAGCTAGAATTAGACAGGAACCAACAACATTAGGCAATAAGGGAATTTACTAACATCCATGTAACATTTGCATACTTTATTAACTAAGTAAGCTATAAAACTAAAGATGAGCCTAATTTTCTTAAAAATGAGCCAGTTTCAGTGTCTTATAATAGTTTATCATAATCAGTTAATAGTGAATAAAGGCTATAATTACCTGGATATGCATTTTAATTATTGCTTTTCCAATCAGGGTTGCACCAAAGAAGGTCCAAAAAGGTACAAGAAAGTGTCCACATGTTATTCCAGCCAGATCAAACAGAGGATTTGGAATCTATTAAGAAAACAACAACAATTTCCATACAACATTCAAAGACCAATTTAATTTTAACACTCACTGGTATATATTATTTTGTTTTGGGCTTTGTTTAAATTGTAAAACAAATCATAAGTTCCCTGGTTAGTTCTACACTGTTCAGAAGCTGGCTTTCACATTTTTCCCAGGCTGTTCTTCAGTATGTTCACGGTGAACCAGGCCTTTTCTTTATTTACTGATGGCCAATGCCTCATAAACAAATCTTCTTCCCTTAAATCACAAGAGAAACAGACAAAGTCCATGGATCTGCAGGTACTGAATCCCATTGACCGGATTCTTGGGCATTTGCTTTGGATTGCTTTCTATGGCAAGGTATGAGTAAAGTATTAAAATTATTGCAGAAGCTACTTAGGTTCTTTTTTTGGTGCCAGTCCTGGAACTTGAACACAGGGCCTGGGTACTGTCTCTACACTTTTGTGCTCCAAGTTAATGTTCTCCTACAATGTCACAACAACATTTCCGGCTTTTTGGTAGTTAATTACAGACAAGACTCTCATAGACTTTCCTGCCCAGGCTGCTTTGAACTGTGATCCTCTTGAGTAGCTAGAATTATAAGTGCGAGTCACCACTGACCAGCAAGTAACCTAAAATTTTTAGACTGAAATATGAATATTACCTGAAAGTGCTCACATCTTTAACAAGCATTTTTATACGTTCAAAATTAATTTACAGATGAATGTTCTTGACATTTAAAATTTCATAATATCCTTTATATTTGCCAATTATGGGCCTTGAACTCAGGGCCTGGGTGCTGTCCGTAGGCTCTTTTGCTCAAGGCTAGTGGTCTACCACTTAAAGCTACAGCATCACTTCCCATTTTCTGGTGGTTGGTTGAAGATAGGAGTCTCATAGACTTTTCTGCCTGGGATGGCTTTGAACTGTGATCCTTAGATTTCAGCCTCCTGAGAAGCTAGGATTACAGGTGTGAGCCACTAGTACCTGGCTCATTATTTATATTTCCTGTTTAGAGAGCTCAAGGCTTTGAGTCCCTGTGACATATTTCAGAAAGAAAATGTGCAAATATGAGAGCACAGATTCACATATTTTGAATACTTAGTCCCAGACAGAGAAATGATTTACAATAAATAACTTTTCTCCTTTCTTCCTTCCTTCCCTCCCTCCCTCCCTCCCTCCCTCCATCCCTTCCTTCCTTCCTTCCTTCGGCACTGTCCTTTAGCTTTTCAGCTCAAGTCCAGCACTCTACCTCTTGAGCCACAGAGCCACTTCCAGTTTTCTGAGTAGTTTATTGGAGATAAGAGTCTCACAGACTTTCCTGCCCATGCTGGCTTTGACCCGCGATCCTCAGATCTCAGCCTCCTGAGTAGCTAGGATTACAGGCGTGAGCCACCAGCACCTGGCTTAATAAATAACTTTTTTGAGTATTTCATCTATTTTTCTTCTACAGAAACATCTGCCCTTATGGTTTTTGGCTGAATCACTTACAAGTCAATAAATATAATTTTTTAACTCTGAAAAAGCCTAGATGTTTAAAAACTAGTTGCCACATTTTTTTTAAAGCAATGCTATGACTAAATTAGAATTCAAGAATTCTTTTGTCAGTAACACTCTGAGTCAATAAATTGTCTTTTTAATGTAAATTAAAATACTTTATGCAATTTATTTTCTTATAACCATGTTGTAAGCTTTGTATCTGCCATCTTATAGTTTCTCAAGTTATCCTTACAATTCTATGAATTATAACTTTTCCATTACTCTCAGACTCCAATCGACATTGAAATGCAGGTAAATTTATTGTATGGCATATATAATAAAAAGTAGGATTTGACAGACTTTTGGGTATCTCATTCTACAGTGGATACACTCACAGGAGTATAGTGAATGAGTTTATTTTTAGATATACACTTACTATTATTGTGCTGGTACTAGGGCTTTAACTCAGGGCCCAAGCACTGTCTGAGCTTTTGTGTTAAAGGCTGGAGCTTTACCACTGTGATCCACAGCTTTACTTCCAGTTTTCTGGTGGTTAACTGGAGAGTCTCACAGACTTTCCTGCCTGAGCCAGCTTTGAACCAAGATCCTCAGATCTCAGCCTTTTTTTTTTTTTTGTCGGTTGTGGGGCTTGAACTCTGGGCCTGGGCGCTGTCCCTCAGCTCTTCAGCTCAAGGC